TTCTTGGCAAAGATACTGGAGTGGCATTGCCAGTTCCTGCTCCAGGTGGATGGCGTTTAGTCAGAACTCAACACTATGACCTGTCCGTCTTGTGTGTCCCTGCACGGCATAGCCCTCAGCTTCTCTGAATGACTCAAGCCCCTTCGCCACAACAAGTCAGCAATCAGTGAAGGGGTAGCAATATGTGAAGGGGATAAAAGCTTACCCTGAAACAAATGTGTCATTATAGTAATAGTCTTAAAGATGGTATGATTCATTTTCTTGGTTTTGATGTTGGTAGAAGAGATAGAGAACCCCATTCAAAAAATTCAATTTTTTTTGGTTTTAATGTTGGTAGAAGAGATAGAGAACCCCATTCAAAATCAAACAAGTCTCTAACTGTAGTTTGTTCAGTACAAAACAGAAGCATCTTGTACTGGTGGAGTGAAACTTGCCTCAACTGAATGAATGCCTCTCCTACCAAAACAAACAAACAACCCCTCAAAATGGAGATTGGGGGAGGGGCGGGGAGAGGTGAAGGAAGAGCATTTGCAAGTGGCTGGATCAGGACAGAAGTACACATCCTCAGTCTATTCAGACATGCAGAGAGAACCCCCTTGATTGGCAATCATGTAGCAGTTGGGAAACAAATTTGTGCTGATTTGGGGAACCAGACTAACCCAAATATGGGAGCTGGAGGGCAAAAGAGGGAGACAAATATGGAAGAAGTGTCATTAGTCATTATTTCGAAAGACAATTTGTTCTTCTGTTGTTTCTCTACCTACGTTTTTAAAAGATGTTCTCAGAGCAGTAGAACTCCACATTCAGGGATATTAATAGGGAAGATTGATTGATTGATTGACAGATGGACGGACGGATGGATGAACAGAAGGAAGGATAGTGACATTAACTTCCACTCTTTTATAATTGGAATTCAATGTGCCTTTGCCTACAAAATCAAGACAATGACTTTATCTCAGGCAATTACTTTTAATTGGTGGTCGCTTATCATGGAAGCCAGATTTGCAACAGATTTACAACTTTTCATCCTGGTGGAATATAGACAAGTCCCCCTTTCCAATTTGGAAACAAAATAAAATATCTAGCAAGTTTTATTCCCAAATCTCCAACTTATTAGAACTTAAATGTGGGAGACTTAGTTGCTTCTCCTAGTGATTATTACAATGATTATAATTTGTTCTTCAGACTAAAGCACTAGAGGATGTCAAGGGTATTTTGGAAGAGAATGAATAAGCAAGTCAGGAAAAGATTATAAAAATCCTCCTGCAGAATTGATGCTGGGAGTATTGGGTGAGGAAGAGATTGTGAGGGCTCTGTTGATTTAGTTTCTGTCAGTTATCCATCAAAGTTCATCTCAGATACTGTTCAAGGTTTGCAGTTCTTCTATTTGTTGGTAGTTGAAGAAAGGTCATTATAGCGCCTTTTCAGATGAGGGCTTGGTGTCCCTTGGTATCATTCATTACAGCCAAATTAAGCGAAGTCATTTGGATTCATAAGAGGAGAGTCTGTGTCTGAGCAGAGGCTTTGCTGCCAAACGAGTGGGTTTTTAGTCCTGGGACCTCAGTTACTCAGTTACCATTCTTCTGTGGGCAAGGAAGGAAAGACTATGAGTTGTTCTGTGAAAGATCCTCTCTTAGTTCCTCATGAGTGGTACCAACCTGGTGTCCTCCTCATCGGAGGTATTCTGACTCAGATAATTCATGCTTTCCATGGAATCTCTTTCAAAGAACAGCCTTCGCAGCACCTTTTTGGTGTAAAGTAAGTATTTCTTCCTCTCCATATCCTTTGCATTTTTAATCCGAGGGAAAGCACAAAACTATAGTAATCAAATGATGCCAGTAATACTCAACAAATTCTGAAATCCAAAGTGTCGGAATAAGTTGATTAGGGAAGCTGAAGAGGTACAAATAGTTGCTCATTTAAATGTGTCATTGAAAAGATACATCAGAGTAAAGAAAACCAAGAATGTTCATCCACCAATTCTAGGAAAGGAAAAATGAAGTGACATTCTGAATCGAGAATGACTGGTACCTTACGAAAGAATTGGAACAAGATGCTTTTCAGTATTGCTGTTGCTTGTGTTAGAACACAATTAGGATTGATCTTTGTATGTGCTGAATGTAATAATATATTCATTGTTATTCAGTAGTAATATTTCCTATATTACATATTTTATTGTTCCAGCATCAAGCCATACATAAAACAAAATTGAATGCAGAACTTCAAGTACTGACATATACTGCAAAAAACCAAATCAAATAAACAAAAAGCAATAAAACTACAAATATAACAATAAAACACCAACGTCTAAGGGTTTGGCTATCTATTCTGGCTACTATGGCATACTGCCCAAAATTTCGCTACCAGTTCTGTAGTAGTCCGATTTTGATCAAGTAACAATTGGTTACAGTAGTCTGAGTCTTTTTGGCTTGTCATGTCTCTTAAGAGAGGTGTAATATATTTTCCTCGAATCTTGTTATGCCTGTTACATTTGAGCATCGTAAGCTCTATAGAGTCTATCTCATCAGATCCACAAGGGCAGAGTCTCTGTTCCCTCAGGATCATCTTATTAAATCTGCCTTCCAACACCGCTGAGGGAAAGGCCGCACATCTAGCCAACTTATATGCCTCAAGCTGTGATAAATAGACCATGGGGAGCAAGCGATATTTGTGCATGTCTATCACTCTAAAGTTGGGGCATCTACTAAGATCTACCCGTCTTTCCATCTGTTTAAGGGCTGATTTCGCTTCATCCCATTGCATGTTCAATATTGCTTGCAGAGAGAAGCCCATAACTTGCAATTTGTTTAGGACCACTTTCAATCACTTCGACTTGAAAATTGTCCTCTAGAAGTAGATTGGGTTAATCCCTGTAATTGAAAATTTATTTTAAGCCAGTACTGAAGGGAGGTTAGTGTAATTTTGGCTACCATTGTTAGTGACCCTGTCTCTAAACGAATATGTGCATTTGTTACGCATCTTGGAACCTCAAGAATTGCTCTACGGAATTTACTCTGAACCCACTCTATTGGATCAAAGCAACTGGATGAAGGCCCTGTTAAGGTGCCGTAGAGCCTCTGGCTGGCCACCTTTGTCTGAAAGAGTTTTTGTCCTGCTGGAATATATCAACCCCCTTTGGAATGGTAGAACCTTAAGATGACATTTGCTGTTTTTTCCCCCTTGGGTAGCTGCATATTGTATATGAGCCTTTCTCTCACCAGTGGATTGATGGGCCATACCTAGATATTTAAAACAGGAAAACTGTTGGAGAGATTGCCCATTTATAGTCCAAGACCTTTTCTTTTGCTTTCTACCAAAGGCCATCATTTTTGTCTTTTGATAATTTATTTCTAATTCCTTCACTTTGCAGAAGTCTGCAAATTTCCTAAGGGCTCTCTTTAGGCCAATTGTCATTCTCTCCCTTTTGATTGCCTTCCTTATCACTTTCCACCAGAGGAGAGAAGGAGTTGGCTATGGGAGTGCGAAGTGTAAATTCGGGAGTCTGCAGTAAAAAAGTCAATTATCTTTGCAGGAAAGCAGAGCAAATCTTCTTTATCCGCATCAGGGAGTTGTTTCCCAACACCCATCTCCTTGAGAAGGAATGCTCTAGTAACAACTCACCACATCCTACAGATCTTGTCCCGGCCTTCACTGCCACTGTGACGGGCTAACTATAAAAAGGCAGATTGATTACAAATTTTTTAGGGCTCAGCCCTTCCAAATATTTATAACTGTTAAAACTATTGTAGATAGGGAGCGGAGCTCAATACAGACGCTACCTCCTCCACTATTATACTTTCCCTACATTTTTCAGAACAGCATGCCATCACTGTGATCATGCATTTCAAATAAACAAACCTTTTCTTCCCACCTCTTCTATTTGTAAATTTTCAGTTCTACTTTTCCATTCAACTTGTTTGCATACTTTTTCTTTGCTTCCATATAATGTACACTTTGCCCCCATGAAGTTTTATTTCTCTCTAATCTTTTAACCTGTATTGGATTTTTCTGTTCTCTTTGGTGGGAAAAATGCTTGGTTTCATTGTGCTATTTTAAAATGAAGACGTTTTGAGCTATGAAACAAATGTATCTGTTTTTTCTTGAGCATTTGTCTTTTCAATGAAGAAAAAAAAAGTCTAGTTTGAAGGAGAATGCCAATTCGTAAACTACAGTAATGTTGTTGCATTATCAAAGTTATCTGTCTCAACAGCATGGTGCCAAAATTCTACCAGCATGCCTTGGCCATGGCCTTTGCCATCGATGAGATCAACAAGAATCCCCAAATCTTACCCAACATCACCCTTGGCTTCCACATTTGTGACAGCTATTCTAATTCATGGATGACCTATCGGACCACTCTCAACCTGCTCTCCAAAAGGCTGAGATACGTTCCCAATTATGAGTGTGATGGAAAGAAAAGTCTCCTAGCAGTTATTGGGGGACTGGGTTCCGACACCTCTGTTCTTATGGCTGACGTCTTAGGTCTCTACAAAATTCCTCAGGTAGGATAAGATGCAGGTATAGTTAGGACAGCATACTTTAGTGTATCCTTTTTAAAAAATTATTTTGACTGCTTTCAGGAGGGTTAGAAAACAGAGGTGCAGAAATAAAATGGATATTCCAGAAAAGTAGGAAATATTAGAATAATTATTGTCTTTTCAAACTTCTGAAATTCCAAATCATCACGACAATGTCTTTTTTCTGTCTTATAGTGCACATACGGCTCTTTGGCTCCAGAGGAGATTCATACATCTCAGCATCCTTCCGTTTATCGTATGGTCCCCATTGAAGACCATCAATACATGGGGATAATCCGGTTGCTTCAGCATTTTAGATGGATATGGGTTGGGATGTTTGTTGGCGATAATGACAGTGGGGAACATTTTGTCCAAGTCATGGACCCACTTCTTTCTAAAAATGGAATTTGCTCAGCCTTCATAACACGAATCCCGCCACAACCCGATTTGGATGACCTTGATGGAACATTTGCCATCTTTCTTCAAATAGCTCAATATTTCGCCGATAAAAAAGCCACTGCATCTATCGCCCATGGAGAATCAGTAACAATTGTGTGGCTAAGAACATTAATATTTCTGCAAGACCCTGAAAATATTGGGTATTGGATATACAGAAAGGTGTGGATTACGACAGCTCAGATTGATTTTATATTAACAGGACCACAAAAGTATTGGGATCTTCAGATGTTTGAAGGTGCTATTGCCTTTATGATTCACAGAAGTGATATTTTTGAATTTGGAGAGTTTGTTCAGCCTGTCAAACCTGGCTGGAACAAAAGAGACGGTTTCCTGAAAGATTTCTGGGAGGAATCTTTTGACTGTTTCCTTGGAGAAACCATTCCTGACAATGAGAGATGTACTGGAGAGGAGAAACTGGCAAGCCTTCCTGAGCCTCTTTTTGATATGCGCTTGACTGGACACAGTTACAGTATCTACAATGCCATCCATGCCCTGGCACATACTTTGCATGTCATCTACTCGTCCAGATTGAGACACAAAAGCCTCCCGCGTCATGACAGTGCAGCAGGGAGTAGACACCCAGGACTGAGAACGGGGGATAGCAAAGGTATCAGTGTCTACCCAGACAGGGACTGAAAAGGTGGGAACGGAAGAAAGGGGCAAACCGTTGATGGAGGCGGGAAATGTGGATATAAAAGGGAAGAGAGATGACATATCAGGGGGTTGGAAGTTGATTGGGATTGAAAATCCCTGGACAGGGAAATGTGAAAAGGTCCAAGTGCCTTGGGAAGAGGCAGACTACTGCAGACAGAGGGGTTTATCTCCTGGACCCTCTTACTGGGGAGAATCCAAAGCCAGAGAGTGGCGGAGGAGATTAAGGGAGGAGAAAGACGCAGTAGAGAGGGAGGAACGAGAAAGGAGAAAGGAGAGCATGGCGTCTGGAGGAGGCCTGCCGGTGGAGGTATTTACCAGATCCTGGGAGCCACTACTCGAGAGAGACAACCCCTTCGACTTGGAGGGAAGAGATGAGGAGACCCTTCCCTTGATTGACAATGGTTTGGGTTCACCGGACTATGAGGACACTAACCCTTTCGTTAAAGGTCCATGGTTTGAATCCGATTATAACCTGTTTCTACAAGACTTATGGACACCCTCGTTTGACCCGTTGGCGATGAGAGATAAAGCTGATAACAACTTTAAAGTTGCAGAACACACGTTGAATGTACCAATAAATCCCAGTTTTGAGTGCTTAAAGAATGAGCATCACGTGTTTGTGTCTGATCAGCCAGAGGCCCAATTAGCTAGCACACAGTGGAACTCTATAAATTTCCAATTTTTTCAATTATATTTGAATGTCTTGTGTGAGGTCATATCAGTTCCAACCTCTGGCAACCCCCTTCCAGGATTCTCAAAGTACAGAGTACACAGAAGTGGTTTCTCATTCTTTGTGGATAACCTAGAATTAGGAAATGTGTTCCACTTTTCCTTTAGAAGTAGGGCATGGAATACAATTAAATTTCACAATGATTAGAATGAATGTGCTTTTACTTTTTTCATGTGATTGCTGGGGTTCAACAGATCAAGCACTAAAAGTAATCAGTAGATAAATCTGAGTCAGTAACTTATTCTAGA